GTCCCGTTCTGTCTGAGCACTACAGTTCTACTCCCAGGAGTGTTACCGGAATACACAGAACCACTTAGGTAGTGAATTCATGGTAACATTGAACATTTTCTCCAGAATTGATTGTGTGAGAATGAATGAAACAGTCTAAATAAAGAATGTGTTTATGCGATGTTTTAAACATGTTCAAACCATGTCTAAACAATCAATGGAAAAAGTCTGGACATAAAATTCAAACCAAGCTGCAATTGAAAATCCTAAGGAATTTCATCAAAAGACACACTGCATAGCATAATTATGCCATACTCACAAAGAGCAAAAAAATGAACATTTTTTACTAAATGTGTTCAATATAAGATAATTGACAGATAGTTGTAATAGCCATTGATGCTATAGTTAGGTAAGGTGAGGCAAGAACTATACAGAATTTGTCTTGGTTATGCGTGGGAAGCCCCGAGTTTAAATAATGATATATCTTTTTATAATTTAGGAACGCATTTGTGATATATTCAAACAAGAATGTCTTGAAAAGATGACATCCTCTGCAAAAGGTGCACTGTATCAATATTAATAATGTAAAACATCTTTGTAAAATAAGACTATCAGCACTCAAATTAAACATTGAATGTGGCAGGTATAATATTAATAAACGAGGAGACAGATTGTGTACTAATATGAATGAGGTAGAAGATTAATTTCATTTGATTTTGAAATGTCTTTGTTATGCTCACATAAGAGCTAAATTCATCAAATTTCATTCATTCACATTTGATTAACTTTAGGCCTTGCGGCCCATCAGTACATTAATATGTTAATACTTTACATACTAAACGATGGCACGACACACCGTACACAGTGGAGAGTGTATACTTAGTACATACGTTTGTATCTAATTAAATTCTCAATTTGTTTGCTTCCAAAATATATTTACCAAGTTGACACAGGTCCTTGGTGTAACACACAATAATTGTATAAATTGAAATACAGATAGGTTTTTTTCCAGTAATATTTCTATATAATAATTATATTGACTTCTTCAATTTTGATAAATATTACATATTAGTACAAAATGGTATTCATCTAGGCACAATATCTCTGCGATTGAACATCATTTCGATATCTGCCTGTCTCAAGTGCTAGGGAGTGAACAGACATACGTAATTTTGTTAACTTGAATCTTGATTTTTGGGTATATATTTTGTTAAGGAATACTGTATAGAGAGGTTGTCTACAATATGCCTTTAGAAAACACTTCTAACAGACCTCTTAATTATTGTTGTCCCTGGTCAAAATTCTTTGACGAGTAAGAGTAAAATTATTTTAATATCGAATGATGATTGGGTTACCATACATCACCAAAGCCTAAAGCGAACAATTCATTTTTTACGTAATATAACCAATTGAAACAGGTACATGTGGTCCTATTAAATAAAACAGTTCAAAATACAGTTTTTGAGTCAAGTAACTTCAACCAGTACTTCATTATTCAGTATTTCCTAATACATTCTAAAGGCAGACGACCAAGTTAAAAAAACAACAACATTACATTGCAGTTAGAGTTTTTTTTAACTTTCTTACAAAAATTTAAATGGAGATTCTCAATGTGTATGTTTTTATGGATCCCCCATACCTCACAAGCATAAAACTATATGCTACTTACATACGTATCGAACAAGCTCAACATAGTTTTACAGTTAAGACTTAGATTAGAACATTTTGACAACAAAGCAAACATTGATTTACATCCTTGGTGAAATAATTGTTTCTGAGTACTAATTAACTTATTATTGTACTTAAATTGCACACCTAGGTATGTGAATTGAAAATATTTTATGTAAATCGTACTAGCATGTTTAAATTTATCCAACTGCTAAACAGTAATAGTTGTCAGAAATTTGGGTAAATATCTTGTGCATGCGAGCAAGAATAGGTCTCAACTCTTTTAATTAGTGGTTACTGTTCACTCTCTACTTATTAGATGTGAATTGATAATTACGTGCTGTGATTTTATCGTTATATGATTTTTTGAAAATAAGAAAAGCTATTTCATGTATATGGTGTGTTTTTGTCATTATGCAGTGTAAAACACCTTAGTTTCAACGTCTTTATGTCTTGGCTGGACAAGGAAGCAAATAAACTGGACCTAAAATTGAGAAGACGGAAATGTACGTCAATTCAGTGATTTTGTTTATTTGTGTTTCACGTACTGTTAATAGCTGTGGTTCGTAAAGGAGGTTTTGGAGGAAGAGGGAAACCGGAGTACCCGGAGAAAAAACTACCGACCTGCGTCCAGTACCTGGCGACTGCCCGACATATGCCTCGAACCCGCGACCCAGTGTTGAAAGGCTAGTGAACGAAGACGGTGAGACGCCTGAACCACCCAATCACCACGGCTCCCTTAAGCTTGTCTTTAGTGATTCGCGAGGTACACTTCGCTTACAGTGATAAGTCATAAAGAGGATTTCGCCTAAAATGATAGGTAACTTGGCTTTCGCCTAATTTGATGAGCAACCCCCTTCGTCTATATTAATAAGCCACCCTTTTCGCTTACATTATTAAACCAAATCCGAGTTAAGTTCAAACTGGGCGTCAGTAGAAAAACATATACATTTGCACTCTCGGGAAATGTAGATGCTGTCGGATGATTGTGAGGAGCTGACATGTAGGATTTGATTAATGGATTCCGGAGTTATAAAAACAGATTATCCCTGACAGCCACAGCATAAACAGCGCTGCTCAAAGTTGACAACACGTTTCTATTTCTCAATGTTAAACGAGACAAATCCCGTGTTACGGTTAATGAATCTGTTCCATTCCATGTCGATTTTATTTCAATGCCTCTTACTTATCGGATGGGGTTTTACGACTTCCGTCAAGCGTGTGATTTTAATTGTTGAGTAAATGAATAAAACGAATAAACATTTCATGCTTAGCCTGACGTTACCGCCTACGCCGGATTCTAAGTATCAGTAGACTTGTTCTAAAAGGTTCGCCATTGTGAGACAATTGATTCCAAGGCCAGAGTTTGACCTCTCTTAGTCTCTTTACCACACGTCACCACGCTAAATACATTAGTGCCAATCACAAACGGTGCGTGTCCCTTTTTTAATGGCTACGAGAGACACAACTACATCTAAAATGCAAATATTTCCGATAGTTTTAATTGATCTCACTTTCATAATGAAATGTGGTAATAAAAATCAAATTCATTTTGGAACTATATCCAGCAGATCACGATCAATACTCGACATCCGCTTGCTATCGAGTCACCTCGGTGTCTATAAACTGTATAACATGGGATTGACCGTCTGGAAGTTTTACCAAAGGTTTGGAAAAAAAATGACATAACACTTTGATTTGTTTTATGTCTCTTTCAAGTTTTGTAGTGCATATTTGAAGTATGAAAGAGAGATACGGACGACAATGGAATATATTACATTTCAAAGTTACAAAGACGATTAATCTATGTTAGGAAGTTAGGAACCACAAACAGACTTTCCAAAACAGAGTCGCCAACACTCTGTCAGTGTTAAACACAGCCACTTACTAACCAATACAAGGTCGCCAACACTTTGTCAGTGTAAAACACAGCCACTTACCAACCAATACTGAGTCGCCAACACTCTGTCAGTGTAAAACACAGCCACTTACCAACCAATACAGAGTCTCCAACACTCTCTCAGTGTTAAACACAGCCACTTACCAACCAATACTAAGTCGCCAACACTCTGTCAGTGTAAAACACAGCCACTTACCAACCAATACAGAGTCGCCAACACTCTGTCAGTGTAAATACATCCACTTACCAACCAATACAGGGTCGCCAACACTCTGTCAGTGTAAAACACAGCCACTTACCAACCAATACAGAGTCGCCAACACTATGTCAGTGTAAATACAGCCACTTACCAACCAATACAGGGTCGCCAACACTCTGTCAGTGTAAAACACAGCCACTTACCAACCAATACAGAGTCGCCAACACTATGTCAGTGTAAATACAGCCACTTACCAACCAATACTGAGTCGCCAACACTCTCTCAGTGTAAAACACAGCCACTAACCAACCAATACAGGGTCGCCAACACTCTCTCAGTGTAAAACACAGCCACTAACCAACCAATACAGGGTCACCAACACTCTCTCAGTGTAAAACACAGCCACTTACCAACCAATACAGAGTCGCCAACGCTGTCCTAAGCTTGCTTACAGATGGACATGGACGTTGACCCTATCACCCATGATAACATATGTAGATTCTTCAATCTTTTGATCTGGACAAGTCAATATTAATATGTAGAGATGAACGGGTTGAGCACCATTAACCAATCAATCAATACTCGTAAGAACATAACAACCTATTGACGGATGGACATCACTCTCATAAACCCAAGCTCATAAAACTTGTGAAGCTTTGTACTAGACTGAAATTACAAACTTTGGTTAACAAATGAAGTTGACTTTGGCACGCCAGGGACCTTATTCCATTTGTGGCCTTCCATAATCACACAGTATTTTCCTTACTTTCATTTTTGGCATATGTACCTATTTAACAATTCCTCTCTTTATTGGTTTATTTAACATTTGTTTCTTCCTATAAATAAACACATTGTTTGTATCTACTCGCATCCAAACCTGAACAATCCAAGCCTGTACAATCCACACCTGTACAATCGACACACCTGTACAAATACACCTGTACAATCCACACACCTGTACAAACACACCTGTACAATCCACACCTGTGCGTGGTATCATCATCCTCGACCTAAATACCACGGACTTAGATAGCAATCTAATTCGGGGTTATGACCTGATCATCGCCATCATCACCATATTATAAGTGACCCCATAACATGAGTGCCCTCTTAACCTACTGAACCAATGGTCATTCTGTCCGATTTCGTCATTTAATTTAGCTACACAAGTACGATAAGTATCGGTAATCTTTTGGACATCAAACAGTCCGTACCGAAATGTTATCTGTACAATCTAGTATCACTGCCGGGAACATTTAGTTGTGGACGCTGGTCAGACAATGTACCCTCCGGCCAGAACATAAACAGCAGCTGTTGACCGTTTAGCCGGTATATAAATAAGTTTAATTAATGATGCGGTTATCATTTGAGCAACTGTCGCCTGCCTGTTGAAACCTTGCAATATCAATATGAGGTAAGTCCGACGTTTTCGTTTGTTTGTCTTCAGTAAATGAACCGTAAATATGTCACTGTTTCATTTTTTATATATAATACCGCACAGAGTAATTGTCTAGTATTTCACTCGCTTCGGGATCAACATACAAATGTATATAATTTACCAGCCTTGAAGGTAATAACTACCTGTTGTGTAACACCGAGTATGGAAAAATGAAATCATAACAAAACTACCTATAATTTGTAAAAGGGTTGCATCGAAATCATTGCATTGGACTGTTCAAATTGAAGACTTTTGCCCTTGTTCATTTAAAGATAGAAAATACTATTAGTTCATTTTAATGGAAATATTTGTTAAAGACTACCTGATGGAAACATTGTATCTGTATTAAAGTGGCATACATGGCTACTGCTGCTTTTACTTCCCAAAAAATGTCATCTGGCTAACAAGTCCGGTTTCAGTGAACCATTTTTCAGCCAACATGCCCATAGATCGGACTTTTCTTGCGTTTTGGCTAAATTACGACCGACTTATAATACACATGTATACAGACTTATTTTAGATCGAAAGGACATGCAAAAATAACTGATGTGTCCAACACAGCACTTCCTTTCCCAATTGAACGACAAGTCAAAGTTTAGTTTAATGAAAGTGTAAGTGTTAATGTAGTAAAAAGTGCAATGTCTGCTTTACTCGCTCCAAGATAAACTTCAGCACTCCACCATCGCATCTAGACTCGCATATAGGTACACCTCAAAGGCTGTTTGTTGGTAGACGATTAATCCTTGAAATTTGTGTTTTTTTAGGTGTGACATCAGGAAATATACGCTACTTCCGGTAGCGATCTTATTTGTGACGTTTTGTCTGGTGCCGGGAACAAGTAAGTTTAAGCACGGAATTAGATTAGGTTATCTAAGTCCGTGGTTTAAGCCATCGATACATACGAGAAGAAATATTTACAATGTGTATGTCCAGCTATAGCTATTACAGCGCCATCTATCGTTGGCGTGTCGGGTAACATAGACACGATATGCTTTGGGAAAGCTTGTGATCTATACAGCCATCCAATTAATATTTTATTTTTTGTGACTACTTTTCTTTCCATTTACCTTACAAACACATTTAGAATCAATTTTGGAAATTGGAGACATCTGAACACACCTAATGACCATTGGTATACATGTAGACATGTCGTATTTCAGACGCCGATTCCTGTCTGTTTACATGCCTGGAGAAGAACTGTACATTCGGATACCTTCCGTTCGGATGCCCTCGTTGTCAGTGTGCCCCGGATCCATGCCTGGTAGGGAGCTGCTTTAAGTTGTTATCAGTTACGAGTGTTTAATAAATATAGCGAATTAACGATGTGTGGTATAGAATTACGTAGATTTTTTGTTTTTTCAGAGAACACAAAAACAAATTTTACCTACCAAAGATTTGAAAAATAATTTATCTTACCACGGAATTAGAATCTAAGTCCGTGATCTTACCTAAAAATCTACTAATGAGATGTGACCTCTTAGAAATCAAATAAATAAATTTGAATTAATTTCGAGATACATCTTGTATGATATGATATGATGTGATCTTAAATGACCCATCAACTCAATATAGTCAGTTAAACAGCGCCACTCAAAACACTGGACCGTAACTCTCTCAACAGAAGGTAAATGATCTGATATATTACAAGTCAAGTGTGTTCATATTAGTTATCCAATCAGCATCCAATAAATTATCATGTGATGTACAATTACAAAATCTAGTCGGAATATAAATCAAAGGGATGGCGGGTTGGTGGTTTGTAATAGATATACCTTCTTAAAAGATCAGCAGGCAGTCAATCGTGGTCACTTGAGTGAGTGATGTAAAGCTATTCACTGTGTTAATTGAAGGGGGACATCAAGCACCATATCGATACATGTAAAATAGCGTAATAACCAAATAACGTTTTAAATAGTAATACATTTCATAATACTAGTACTTTTTATTTTTTATGCTGTTGTTTCATATGGGAGACATGTAGGCACATTTATATATAATTCTATTTTTAGTTCACAACGTGTCCCCAAGGTTTCCGTTGCGAGGCTATCCAGTCGGCGTGTCCCAGCGGCCTACAATGTCCCAAGGTAGCCAGGTGTGTCGCTGACCCCTATAACGGAGGTAAGGACTACATTTATCTGTGTCCAGCGGCCTGTCATAAAAGGAAATAGTTTTTTTTGTTCTCCACGTTAGATCATCGTTCTTGTATAGTTACCTTTATATTTTGATAATATTGAATATGGAAATACTCGGTAGTGAAGCGGACGTTAAACCACTCAAACAAACAAACAAACAATATGGAACTTGTAAACCATTTATTTGAGAAACATTTACAATGATTTCGTTTAATATTGCCATTCTTGTACTTCGGATTTGTATAGTGGCTGAGAAACGTTTTTAAATCTGTACAGTCCACAGAATCCCCAGCTTGCTAGGTCTTCAAGTTATACACCGGCATATCGTCTGTTAAAACAGAAGTTGTTCAAAGCGTATATTTGTATCATAAATCTATTGTCCTTAAATCATCAGTGCAAGCGATATTTATACAATAGCCTAACGTCAGTTAAATGTTTGCCCCTTAGGATTATCTTACATGTACGTTAAGAGCAACAGTGGAAGCGTTTAAATGAAACCGATCCCTGATTACATTCAAAGTCTAAATTTGACAAATATGATAATGATTGTCCACTACAGAACAGCCGTGCGCATGCCGAGAGGAATTCGCACCAGTGTGCGGAGTGGACGGTCTCAACTACCCGAACACGTGCATCATGTTATGTTCGTAAGTATGGTCAACTCACAATCTATTACCACAGTCAGGTATCCGAGGAAAAAAGTGTTAGTATGGTCAACCCACAATCTATAACCACAGTCAGGTATCCGAGGGAAGGTTGATGAGGGCTCGATATTGAAGATCGAGAGATGGTAGAATGTGGAATGGGGTTGGTATGGGAGGGGAGACGATGTGAAGGGGGAGAGATGTGGTATACCCTGATACGTGCATCCCTATTCATGGCTGATTTTTGCATCGCTGTAGAAAACTTGAATTGTCTCCCTTTCCGCGCCTGATAATGTCTCCCTGTCCGTGACTGATATTATTTCCCTGTCTGTGACTGACAATGTGTCCCTGTCTGTGACTGACAATGGCTCCCTGTCTGTAGCTGACCCTGTCTCCCTGTCTGTGACTGACAATGTCTCCCTGTCTGTAGCTGACACTGTCTCCCTGTCTGTGACTGACACTGTCTCCCTGTCTGTAGCTGACACTGTCTCACTGTCTGAAGCTGACACTGTCTCCCTGTCTGTAGCTGACACTGTCTCCCTGTCTGTGACTGACAATGTCTCCCTGTCTGTAGCTGACAATGTGTCCCTGTCTGAAGCTGCCAATGTCTCCCTGTCTGTAGCTGACAATGTGTCCCTGTCTGTAGCTGACAATGTCTCCCTGTCTGTGACTGACAATGTGTCCTTGTCTGTAGCTGACACTGCCTCCCTGTCTGTGACTGACAATGTGTCCCTGTCTGTAGCTGACACTGTCTCCCTGTCCGTGACTGACAATGTCTCCCTGTCTGTGACTGACAATGTCTCCCTGTCCATGACTGACGATTACTCAGTGTCCGTGACTGACAATGTCTCCCTGTCCGTGACTGACGTTTATTCCCTGTCCCTGACTTACCTTGTCTCTCCCTCCGCTACTGACATTGTCTTCCTGTCCGAGACTGACCTTATCTCCCTGTCCATGACTGATAAATTATTTTCTTGTCCGTGATTGACACTGTCTCCATGTCCGTAACTGACGTTTACTTCTTTCTGTGACTAACCTTACTCTACGCCGGTGACTGACCTTTACACCCTGTCCGTGACTGACTTTTACTACCTGTCCGTGACTGACGTTTACTCCCTGTCAGTGACTTACGTTACCTCCCTGTCCGTAACTGACTTTTACTCCCTGTCCGTGACTGACGTTTACTCCCTGTCAGTGACTTACGTTACCTCCCTGTCCGTAACATACCTTTACTCCCTGTCCGTGACTGACGTTAACTCCCTGTCCGTGACTGACGTTTACTCCATGTCCGTGACTGACGTTGTTTCCCTGTCAGTAACTGACCTTTACTCCCTGTCCGTGACTGACGTTTACTCCCAGTCCGTGACTGACCCTGTCTTTCTGTCCGTGACTGACCCTGTCTTTCTGTCCGTGACTGACCCTGTCTCCCTGTATGTGACTGACAATGTCTTCCTGCCCGTAACTGACGTTGATTCCCTGTCAGTGGCTGACCTTGTCTCCCTGTCCATGACTGACGTTATCTCTCTGTCCCTAACTGACCTTGTCTCCATGTCCGTAACTGTCCTTATCTCCATGTCCGTAACTGTCCTTGTCTCCATGTCCGTAACTGACATTGTCTCCCTGTCCGTAACTGTCCTTGTCTCCATGTCCGTAACTGACCTTGTCTCCCTGTCTGTCCGTGACTGACCTTGTCTCCCTGTCGGTGACTGACCTTGTCTCCCTGTTCGTGACTGATCTTGTCTCTCTGTCCGTGACTGATCTTGTCTCTTTGTCCGTAACTGATCTTGTCTCCCTGTCGGTGACTGATCTTGTCTCTCTGTCCGTGACTGATCTTGTCTCTCTGTCCGTGACTGACCTTGTCTCCCTGTCCGTAACTGATCTTGTCTCCCTGTCCCTAACTGACCTTGTCTCCCTGTCCGTAACTGTCCTTATCTCAATGTCCGTAACTGACCTTGTCTCCCTGTCCGTAACTGACCTTGTCTCTCTGTCCCTAACTGACCTTGTGACCCTGTCCCTAACTGACCTTGTGTCCCTGTCCGTAACTGACCTTGTCTCTCTGTCCCTAACTGACCTTGTCTCCATGTCCGTAACTGTCCTTATCTCCATGTCCGTAACTGTCCTTGTCTCCCTGTCCGTAACTGACCTTGTCTCCATGTCCGTAACTGACCTTGTCTCCCTGTCCGTAACTGTCCTTGTCTCCCTGTCCGTGACTGTCCTTGTCTCCCTGTCCGTAACTGACCTTGTCTCCCTGTCCGTGACTGACCTTGTCTCTCTGTCCCTAACTGACCTTGTCTCTCTGTCCCTAACTGACCTTGTGTCCCTGTCCGTGACTGACGTTGTCTCCCTGTCCGTGACTGACCTTTACTCCCTGTCCGTGACTGACCTTTACTACCTGTCCGTGACTGACGTTGTCTCCCTGTCCGTGACTGATATAGTCCGTGTTTGATATTGTTTCCATGGTGTAACATTACAGGTATCAAACATTGATTTGACGCGGGTTCAATCCAGAGTTGGTCATTACTTACGGAGATTTACAATAGTTAATATTTAATGATTTTGATGAATTCTTTGACATTTATGATGTCGCGGTGACAGAGTGATATCGATTATTTGATTATATTCATAATTCAGAGTGTGTTGATTTTATTGAAGCAGGAGGGTTCGAGACCCCAGTGGGAGGGTCTTTGCACGATCTTCATGATCATCAACAGGATAATATCGCCCTAAATCTCGCGGGATTAAGGCAGATGTTGCGTAGTTATGTTCGAAAGTTTCGTCGATCTCGATATGCAATAGGGACGTGATTTTGAAGATAATCACGTTAATCTCGCGGAAGTGGGGGCGTGCTGGCCAGTGTCCTGACTTTAACATCGTGTGATGGTCGGTATGCTGATTTAACCTTAGACGATAAATAATAATAAGATAACAACATAGATGCTAATGATGTAAAGCTGACTTGTGTTTGTGTAGAGGGATGCTGAAGGTGTCTGATGGGTTCTGTCGATGTAACTGTCCCCAGATGTACGCCCCAGTCTGTGGTACCAACAACGTAACGTACGAGAACGACTGTTTTCGGGATTGTCAGTAAGTGCGTCACAAACATATGAATGTTCAAGGAATGTTTTTCGCCTTTAATCTTTGCAAAAAATAGTTTACTTCAAACGAAACCGAAATTCTGATTGATCCCAATAATATCATACCATTGCTTCTTTCGTCAGTTACCAAACAAGGTCATTATACCAAATTACATGTTCCCTTGCCAGCGTCCATATAAGCCTTTGATAAATGTATTACTTTATATTTTATTAGAAGGCAACAAAGCGTTAATTGTTGAAAACGATGCATAGGTTTGAAAGTGGTTTTATCACTAATCTATTATTTATTCCTGGCGGTAGTTGGTCGAACCAATTGCAGTAACTCCGACTATATATTTCTCTCGACAGGGCTATTTTCGACAGCCGCATCTTAAAACAGCATGAAGGTGTTTGTGAGTGCGTCTGTCCTCAGTCAGAAAATCCCGTATGTGGACGTGACGGTAAAACCTATCTCAACGATTGTGTCCGGGCCTGCGCGTATGTATATAAATAGCAGGATGAAACCATTTAAACAATAAGGAAATTTTGAGAATATTTATTTATCATATTTTAAGATACATATTTCCTAAGCATACACTTGCTAAAGAAAGCATTACAAATCTTGTATTTTGATCCAGACACTGAAATAAACAAATCAACAATGGACAATTTGTCACTATTTTCACCCAAGTTCCCCTTTTTAGACAATCTTTTCACCGTTCAAATATATCCTAGCATTTGATTTTTTTCTCAGTAAGTTAATTATATATTTAAATGGTTTTGCAACATATTTCTGGCGTGAAAATTCTGGGATGTGCTTTACATGTAAATAGGAAAGTTTCCTATAGTTTATCGTATTTCAAAAAATAACCTTGTGATTTTTCTACTGGTGTAGCGGTGTCCCTAAAAGCTCGTCAGGCTCGTGTGATTGTTTGAGTAAGTGCGATGCTCTCTATTCGCCTGTGTGTGGGTTTGACGGTCTCACGTACACCAACGACTGTTTCCGCCAATGCTCGTAAGTAACATGTAGTTACCTCCCTTATCAATATTTTGTCTAAGGGTTTTTATTCTGATATTACATATGGAAATTAATATTTTGGCGCTCATAAATTCACAAAATGTTACAAACTTATTTGCTAGTAACTGCCTAATCTTGTTTAAGACTTCATTCCGTTTCTGTTGTAGTGGGGTAGGGCTGTTTTCAAATATGGCCTGTCCTTGGAACCGCCGCAGGCGATCACAGCTCTGATGTTAGGGCCTCATTGGACTAGGGGAGATAACCGTGACAACTGGATTGATACCGTCTTTGTAATTCCTAGCATTTGAAATTTTTGAAATATCATTGAATAAAACACGAAATGTCTTATCGTACGCCAGTTTTAATTTCTTCCTGTTATAAATTCTATTGCATGGCGAAAGTCACGAATTTTCATAAAACTACGTACGGCACTAAGCCCGTAACTAAATGGTATGTACCTATACCCCATCAGTCCATCAAATCATTTATCTAGAAGAAACCTGGCCATTTTCAGTGGTTTTCTAGATATTTTCAAACACACCCCTTTTCCTACCACTCAGACCTGTTTCCAATTGCTTGGATTAAAAGAAAACAGAAATTCAAACTGTTAAATATTTGTAGATACCAATAATTGGGCATCAGTAGACAGATCATCATTTAAGATGTGTTTATCAGGGTATTTTTGTGGGCTGATAGATATGCGAGTACTTTTTTTAAGTTATAGATTTTACTGTTTAACAAGTGAATACCGACAAATTATTGTCCAATATAAGTAACGAAGGAGGTATTTGTCCTTTCCTTGTTGGTATGGAGAACATGGTGAACAGACCTATTATATGCAGTGTAACGTAACGGAATGTCGCCTTCATAACTCCATGGCAATAGGAACTATAATAACCCTCAGTACTATATATATTGAAATTTAAAACGGTATCTTCATTGAACAGCCCCAAACAGATACTTTGCTATCCCAAGCATGCGCAGATATATTCACGGTGCTATATGCCATTGTTTTTGGTGTTGTTATAAATGCATGGGGATCTTAATAGAAATGATGTTGGTGGTACGAATATTTCGGTCTCTAAAATATTTCATTTAAAACCTTCGCGTATGGTAAGCTGATAAATGTCATGATCTATTTTTTGAATTGCACGTTCAGTCTTAAGGTAATAGGATTGTGTCGCCATTTCTCAGTAGAATTTGTTCAAATTTTGTAGTTATATTGATTTGAAGTAAAGAAAATTTTCTGCCACAAAAAAATATAGGTTGTCAGAATTTTAAGGATTTTAAATGGAAATTTATGTAAAAAGGATTGAATTTTGAAAAAAGACTTGAAACACATATTTTTTTTGCAAAATAATGTCAATAAAAATGATACTAACATAGATTAGTATTGCATTAATGTATATTAATTTCATAAATGCTGAAATTGTGTAAAATGAATCATCCATAAACGATTAAAAATTGACATTTTATAATAAAACCATATACACATAGTAACTACATGCAATGAGTTATCGTTCTTGGAAAACTTCACAGTAGTGAACTAGGTAGCCGGTTTCCTGAAGTACAGAAAAATGGACACATGTGACTCATTGATTAAAGACCAACTGAATTAATGCCTGGATTGCTTTGCAATACTTTAATATTGAAAGAACACACTGTTCTGTCAATAATAAGCATACAATATTCATCAGTTTAATATTAAACATTAGAATATGCGGAAATTGTGATACTGTCTCCCTACATTGGATTTTCAACTAGGAATGTACTTCCTACTTCCGTTTAGCAAAACACTCCTATGACCTTAAATGAGACTGAGTGTAAATGCTAAATACATGTGTTTGACCCCAGTTGCTAACAGGTTCGTTAGAGTTAACCATGAAGAGGTTACATATATATGCGACGTTAAATAAAGCTTCTTGAGCGATAACTCGCAGCTTTTTTGTCAGGTTATTCCCTGACATTCCGTTTCTGCAATATAACTTTCCATCAATAACAAACAAGTTATTGTCATTTTAAAGTTTTGTGTTTATTCAGACGCATATTTAATAATAAACAATAAATCATTCGTTGCAAACGAAGAAAGTAAGAGCCAATACGACGTAATGTAAAAGTATATCATGCAGCTGGCTATTACCAACTGTAAAAGGTGGTTATTACCAACTGTAACAGCTGGCTATTACCAACTGTAAAAGGTGGCTATTACCAACTGTAAAAGGTGGCTATTTCCAACTGTAAAAGGTGGCTATTTCCAACTGTAAAAGGTGGCTATTACCAACTGTAAAAGGTGGCTATTACCAACTGTAAAAGGTGGCTATCAACAACTGTAACAGTGGGCTATCACCAACTGTAAAAGATGGCTAACACCAACTGTAATAGCTGGTTATCACCAATTGTAAAAGATGGCTAACACCAACTGTAGAAGATTGCTTTCACCAACTGTAAACGTTAGCTATTACCAACTGTAAAAGCTGGCTATCACCAACTGTAAAAGCGGGCTATCACCAACTGTAAAAGATGGCTAACACCGACTGTAAAAGATTGCTTTCACCAACTGTAAACGTTAGCTATTACCAACTCTAAAAGCGGGCTATCACCAACTGTAAAAACGGGCTATCACCAACTGTACAAGATGGCTAACACCAACTGTAATAGCAAGTTATCACCAATTGTAAAAGCTGACTATCACCAACTGTAAAAAAATTGCTTTCACCAACTGTAAACGTTAGCTATTACCAACTGTAAAAGCTGGCTATCACCAACTGTAAAAGCTGGTTATCACAAAGCTGTTTTACACCAACTATAAAAGCTGGCTTTTACAAAGCTGGCTATCACCAACTGTAAGAGTTTGTTATCACAAAGCTAGCTAACACCAACTGTAAAAGATGGCTAACACCAACTGTAAAATGCTGCTTATCACCAACTATAAAAGCTGACTAACACCAACTATAAAAGATGGCTTACACTAACTGTAACAGCTGGCAAATACCAACTATAAAAGCTGGCTATCACAAAGCTGGCTTACACCAACTGTAAAAGCTGGCTATCACCAACTGTAAAAGCTGGCTAACACAAAGCTGGCTATCACCAACTGTCAAAGCTGGCTATCATAAAGCTGGTTGTCACCAACTGTAAAAGCTGGCTATCACAAAGCTGGCTATCACCAACTGTAAAAGCGGGTTATCACCAACTGTTAAAGCTGGCTAACACAAAGTTGGCTTACACCAACTGTAAAAGCTAGTTATCACCAACTGTCAAAGCTGGCTAACGCAAAGTTGGCTTACATCAACTGTAAAAGCTGGCTATCAAAAAGCTGGCTTACACCAACTGTACAAGCTGGCTATCAAAAAGCTGGCTTACACCAACTGTACAAGCTGGCTATCAAAAAGCTGGCTTACACCAACTGTACAAGCTGGCTATCAAAAAGCTGGCTTACACCAACTGTACAAGCTGGCTATCAAAAAGCTGGCTTACACCAACTGTAAAAGATTGTTATCACAAAGCTGGCTATCACCAACTCTAAAAGCTGATTATCACCAACTGTCAAAGCTGGCTAGCGCAAAGTTGGCTTACATCAACTGTAATAGCTAGCTATCACAAAGCTGGCTTACACCAACTGTACAAGCTGGCTATCAAAAAGCTGGCTTACACCAACTGTACAAGCTGGCTATCAAAAAGCTGGCTTACACCAACTGTAAAAGATTGTTATCACAAAGCTGGCTATCACCAACTGCAAAATCTGATTATCACCAACTGTCAAAGCTGGCTAACGCAAAGTTGGCTTACATCAACTGTAAAAGCGGCCTATCAACAACTGTAAAAGATGGCTTACACCAACTGTAATAGCTGGCTATCACAAAGCTGGCTTACACCAACTGTAAAAGCTTGTTATCACAAAGCTGGCTATCACCAACTGTAAAAGCTGGTTATCACGAACTGTCAAAGCTGGCTAACACAAAGTTGGCTTACATCAACTGTAAAAGATGGCTATCACAAACCTGGCTTACACCAACTGTAACAGCTTGGTATCACAAAGCTGGCTATCACCATCTGTAAAAGCTGGTTAACACAAAGCTGGCTATCACCATCTGTAAAAGCTGGTTAACACAAAGCTGGCTATCACCAACTGTAAAAGCTTGTTATCACAAAGCTGGCTTACACCAACTGTAAAAGCTGGCTATCACAATGTTGGCTTACACTAACTGTAAAAGCTGGCTATCACAAAGCTGGCTTACACTAACTGTAAAAGCTTGTTATCACAAAGCTGGCTTACACCAACTGTAAAAGCTGGCTATCACCAACTGTAAAAGCTGGCTATCACAATGTTGGCTTACACCAACTGTAAAAGCTGGCTATCACAAAGCTGGCTTACACCAACTGTAAAAGCTTGTTATCACAAAGCTGGCTTACATCAACTGTAAAAGCTTGATATCACAAAGCTGGCTTACACCAACTGTAAAAGCGGGTTATCACCAACTGTAAAAGCTGGCTATCACCAACTGTAAAAGCTGGTTATCACCAACTGTAAAAGCTGGCTAACACAAAGCTGGCTTACACCAACTGTAAAAGCGGTCTATCACCAACTGTAAAAGCTGGCTATCACCAACTGTAAAAGCTGGTTATCACCAACTGTATGTCCACATATCAACATACACAAATCAATCAAACATGTCTACGGATCTCAGTCACATAGGCTTTAAATCCTTCTTTTCCTGGAAATGTTCAAATAATGCATTAACATTATTGCGACATTAAAATGAGCAATATAGATACTAAACAGAATATGGACGGCCTGTTGTGTAGAGCGTCAGTTAGTTTTCATTCATTTTAATTCATGAACAACTTGATCAGAGAATACATTTGTTGGTAAAAATGAACTTTTCACCGATGACTAAATCGTTCTATATCAGCCGAACGCAATCGGGAACATGTCTCTGTCGTTTTGAAAATCAAGTAAAACCTAGCTTTTATAATCAAAAATGATTTTAGATTCATATCGGTATAAACGACGTTGGTCATAAAACAGCGTTACGTGCAAGTAATTTGGACTAGTACAGTGGTAATTTGTTAATCCGGAATGTTACATAGGAAACTCGATTATCCGGAGAAATGCAATGGGAAATAGCTGATCCAGACTAATACAATGGCGACTCGCTAATCCGAACCACAACAAAGGAGAGACGCTTATCCGGGAACTGTGATATTGACATCCCGTATAGAATAATATTTTGTGTTCTTGCACAAAAGAAAGTCTCTGTTAGTGCTGGAGTTCACTGACTAACAAGTTATAATCAGTATATAAGCAAAAGTATTCGGAGACTAACAAGATTCCATTGTATGTTGATCTA